TGCTACGATTATTTTTGTTGCAATTACCACCGAGAAAATATCAGGTAAATGTATGCAATTGAGGGCAGGTTACAGCTTGCTTCTCTAGTTAGGAAAGTATATAGATTGGAGAGACATTATCAAATCTTTGATTTATGGTAACTCACTAGAGAAATCTGTGGATCAGATGGTTCGATGCGCTGGGGACTTCTGATTCAAATCCCATCAGCTTGAGATGATAACATACTTTCAGTACATCCCATGTTAAATAATAATAAATGATAATGATGCTCCCTTTGGTGATGTTTGTGGAATTGAATCCAACCCAAGGTTTTTGAACTAACTTGCCTCTCATGGCTCTTCCGCATCGTGGTGCTATGGCACTATGATTCTACACTATGTGCCAATGGCTATGTCCTATGGGATGCTGGGATTTGTAGTTTGTAGCATACTATCAGGCTTGTCAGAAGAGGGTAATAATGGTTCGTAAACCAGGAAAACCACATCAGAAGTGGAGGAACTCCATAAAGGAAGCCAAGCCTTCCATGATTCTGCAGGGCAACTATCTACACAGGCATGGGCAAACTTGGGCCCTCCAGGTGTTTTGGACTCCAACACCCACAATTCCTAACAGCCGGTAGGCTGTTAGGAATTGTGGGAGTTGGAGTCCAAAACACCTGGAGGGCCCAAGTTTGCCCATACCTGATCTACACTCTAGAATGAATGCAGTTTGAAGCCACATTACCTGCTACAACTCAGTGCTATGGAATTGTGGGATTTGTAGTTTGGTGAGGCACCAGCACTCTTGGTCGGAGGACGCCAAAGAGCTTGGAAAACTACATCTCCCATGATCCCATGGCAATGAAAGTAGTATCAAACTGGTTTAATTATATAGTGTAAATACAACTTTGAAGGTTTCCTAATCAAAGTAGACTAGATGGTAGTCAACACAGCAACCATGCACTATATCTCCCTAGCTGATCATTCGAAGGGCCCTTCCAGACAGGCCCTATATCCCAGGATCTGATCCCAGGTTTTTTGTTTATCCCAGATTATCTGGTAGTATGGACTCATATATTCCAGTTCGAAGCAGAGAACCTGGGATCCAGGTCTATCTCCCACCTTAATCTGCAAGTTCCAGGATTCCATAGGAATTAAAGTGGGACTATACTGCTACAATTGTGTAGTGTGGAAAAAGGCCAAATGGAAGGAGGACCAGAGTCACAGAGTCAAATAAGGCTAATTATTCCAGTTTCCAGTATAGAGCGGTTTAGGTTTCTGTGAGTTTTCTGCTCTATGGCCGTGTTCTAGAAGCATTCTCTCCTGACATTTTGCCCACATCTATGGCAGGCATCCTCAGGGGTCATGAGATCTGTTAGAAACTAAGTAAGTGAGGTTTATATATCTATTGAATGTCCAGAGTGGAAGAACTCTTGTCTGTTTGAGGCAAGTGTCAATGCTGCAATTGAGCACCTTGATTAGCATTGAATAGCCTTGCAGCTTCAAAGCTTCTCTGCTTCCTGCCTGGGGGAATCCTTTGTTAGGAGGTGATTAGCTGGTCCTGATTGATTCTTGTCTGGAATGCCCTTTTTTTAGTGTTGTTCTTTCTTTAATGTTGCAATTGAGCACCTTAATTAGCATTTAA